ATGTAGTATACTCTAAAAGGTTATTCCATTTATTGAGTAACTATTATGTGACAGACACCATGATAAAGATTTGGAAAATATTGTATCTCCTTTTCAAAATAAGCCTGCAGCTATAACTTCCTAGGCTACGAAAAAAAGGATAAAAGACAAATTTTCACTTTTCTATTTTCCAATTTTCCTCTACCTACGCATCTCAGAAAAACCCAAAAGTTCAGTTTAAGTGGGGAAAAAACAAAGAAAGAAAAGAACCCCACCTTTAGCTACCTGATTCACATTTCATAAAAACCACTTGATTCAATGATTTTTATTTTCCAATAAGGAATAAAAACTTTGGATTTTAAATTTTACAAGCAAAAAATAAAATATTTAGGGAAGCATTAAAATGATCAAAAAGAGTATTAAATTATGCATTTCTAAAGTGAATTCAAGGACAGCTCCATAAATATCAAAGTTCCAAAGAATTCTGAGTCTCCAGAAAATTTTTTACTGTTCATTTTTTTTTACTTTTCCTCACTTACTGAGGTATTAATTATAAATGCCGACACTTAAGATTGTTTCCATGCTTTAATCTTCATTCCCTGCTTGCTCTCCCTACCCACATACAATGAAAGTAATTCAATCAATCGATACAGAATTAAGTTACCAACTTTACGAAAAAGACACTCATTAATTGGGAAGGAAGTATTTTATATAGGTGTTTCATCACTTTACAGAACAGGCTGGTTCCTGAAAGTCTCATTTCTGTAATGGGGAAAAAAGTGTCGAGGTTAGCAGCCCATATTTATACTTGTGAAAGCTATTAAAATATTTTAATCAAACATTTTGAAAAGACAAAAAAGGCAACTATAATTTCTAATTAGGAAATAATGGTCAAAATTATTTCAAAATGAAGCAGACTAGTGGTATATAATACAACATATTCTCTGTGCTCGATCCAAATAAGAAGATATCCCCTGAGGATTGCCTGCTGTTTGAAAAAAATGGTAGCTTCTGCATTTTCTCTATTCTAAGTAGAGTAAAACTCCTTATACAATTATGATGTACATTTAAAATCTCTCTTCATATACACATAGTGTTGCTAGTGAGATTAGGAAAATTTCTGATGCAGAGAGGTCCTTAACATAATCTGATACTGGGACTTTAATAATGTCTTTTGTAATATAAATTGTTAACTCATTTGTTCATTCATTCATTCAATTATTTTTTAAGTGTCAAGTATGCACCAGACACTGTTGTAGATGATGGTAATATAAAATGAACAAAACATATAATAAAAATCTCCCTGCCCTCAATGAGCTTACATTCGAGTTCTTCAAAAGGGATCTCCAACTAAAATACAAGTATTCAAAATCCAAGCAGAAAGCTTTCTGAAAGGCTTTATTAGTCAGTTGTCCCAGAGAAGGAAAGGCTACAATAAACATTTCATTTGACATTTTTAATGTGTGTTTAATTTTTTATCAAAAATAGGAGACTACATCCTGGTTAGTTTCTAAGTTTTCTTTTATTTTAATTTATACTTTACTACTCCTAATTTTCCTCAATTTACACTTTTCTAACTCTAACATATTCTACTTGTTTCTTGAAGAGAATAAAAGGGAAACAGCCTTTGTTCTGTATCCAAACTGACTGATGATCCATAAATACCAATCAAATGATGGTTTGTGTAGAGCACAATTCTTTGTTAGGAAAGAATCTGCTTCTCGAGAACATGCACTGCTGTCTCAGCAAGGCTTATCCATCAACTGGGATGTTCACTGGAAATGCCAATACCTGTATTTGTTGATCTATTCGCTTGATTCTAAAATTCCTTTCTCTCTTTACTCTCCCATTAACTGGATTTATGCTTCCTGCTATCATTAAAGACTAGAGTTTCCACTCAGCAGAGGTTGCAGCTTATTTTCCTTGGTACTGCTATCAGTGCAATTACTGTTAATGTGCTCTGAGCCCTTCTACTCAGCCCTCAATCCCTGCCTCTGCCTTTACTTCACCTAATCTGAATCAATTCAAAGTCAAGGTCAATTATCACATTGAATCTAAACTCACTAAGTTTAAGATGGCCAGGCCACACTGTTGCCAAGCTCAGTGGTCCTTCATCTTTGCTTGGGCTTCTTCTCTCTCTTCAAGTCACAACCAGTGTGGAACTCAATCCACCAGCACTAGCCTCCTGTGCTCCAGCTGACAAAGAAGTCACAATATCTACAAGTTTACCACAGAGTGATAAAGGCTGCAAAGCTAGGCTTAGAGTATCAACTTCATTCTGCGTAGGATTCAGAAAGATCCAGGCATAATAAGGAAATCACTCATTCCATGTATTATTTCTGCATATTCATTTCCACCCTTATTCAACAAATATTTATTGTGTACTTATTATGTTCCAGGGGCTGCTAAACTGTTGGTTTCTTTTAATGGGAATACCCCAACACTGCTCCAGAGCAGGGGTAGTAAATCTCTTGAGCTACAGGCATATCTAACTGTCAGCTTAATTTTGTCTCATCTAAACAGTGGGTATCAAGAAATGAAAATCCAGTGGGGTCTGTAAGTCTTTGAAAGCAATAAAACGAAGACACAATTCTATGAAGAGAAAGGTCTGTGCCTTTTTCCTTCCCTACTGTATAAACCTCTGTCTCTACCTCTTTGCTTTTGTTTTCTCTTCCCCATTCTGACTCCTCTTCCCTTAACTGGCCATAATACAGCAACGAAATACAAGTATACTGTTTACTGTATTTATTGACTTATTTGTTCCCATTTCCTACTTAAAAGGCAAATCACGTGAGTATTTCTTGGTTTTCTCCTAAAACAAACAAAAAAGCCTATTGTTGCTCTTTTTATTTGTTTGGGGTGGGGGGGGTCATTCCTTGAAATTTCTTTCAGAGAATCTTCACCTATTAACTCAGTTAACTGATATTTCATTTAGGCAAGCAGGTATTGTAATTAAATATAAAACAATAATAAACATAGTACTTCAAGGATCACCACAAAAAAGAAATGCAAAGCTCATAAGGCACAACGTGCAAAAGATAAATAAAAATCTCATGTAGAAAATAAAAATCTATCCAAATTATTTCAACAGAAAAAAACGTATTTAAAGAAAAAGGGATTATCATTTATCATTTCTGAACACTGAAAATAAGGATGCTCCACTCCTAAGAACAGTCTCCAAGTGAATTTTATCACAAAATTACTTTATATTTTTCATTTTACAATTTCTCTCTTTATCAGTTACTATGAACTGTAAATTAATGAAACACTTAGTTTCCCAGAAATTAAGTATCTTCCTAAAAACTCTATATAATCCCCATTATACAAGAAGGTCATAGTATCTTTTCTTCACCACACACAAACTATAATTTATCATGATAACTTATTCTTTATTTGTCATCTTTCTACAGAAATGATCAGGATAAATTCGCCTTACCACACATTATAAATACAAAAGTTTTAATAAACTACTAATCATACTATTATGTTGCAAGTATGACTAGAACATGATATCACAAATTAAGTCATTAATTCCAAAACAATAGTTTATTAACAAAAAAGTACAAAGAAGTACACATGGACACCCTGTTTCTCCCCATTATGGTCGATCTATCTCTCTCCCTTTTAATTCAAAGTATAACTTCTGGAAGCTAAATGAATGGAAAATTTTTTCTGCTTCCAAATGGCCCTAATAATCATCCAGAAACAAACCATTATGTATTTAAGTTATACAGTTCAAGTCAATTCAAATTTTTATCTGTGTTGTCATAAAAGCCACTTCCCTTGCAATACACCAAGTTGCTAAACTGAATGAAATATCAGCATCAACATCCATAAATCATATTTAGACATAAGGTATATCACGTCAGAAGAATGTTTGCTTTAAAGGAACAGTTTACAAATACATTTACGGTGTCATAAATGATTTTTATAGACATTTACTAAAAACACTTCAAGTTAAAAGCATCCTGTTAACTGTACTAAATTGAGGTACATGGAGAACATTCAGCTTGTGCTTTTTGCACTTATTATAAATCAAAGCTAATTACACATCTAAACTTACTGCTATCACATCAATTTTCTTCAAATAATGGTTCATTTCCATTACAAACCTAAGGTTGTTCCCTATTCTCTCTAAAGGCCTGAAGTTACTTCTCTAAATCCTGGTAAATACTCAATTATCTCACAGTGCTTCTTAAAATATCAATGTAGATGGGAGATTTAGTAGTAAACTGTCATGTTCTATAACTAATGCCGAATTTGCTATTTTTTGTTATGGCTCATCAAGACAGAACATGTGGTTTTACTCACTGATGGTTTCTAAAAGCCTGTATAGAATTTGCTTTTTCCTAGTGGTAAGCTCTAGTCATTTGGTTTGTGCAGGGAGCCACTCATACCTTCCTCCTTGGAACTGTTCTCATAAAGGACATGAAATGAGTGTTAGATTAGTCTATAATAACATCAGAGTGCTATACCAGTGAACATTTTTTGGAAGCTTGAAAATTCAGATGACCACTCACTAAACATAAAATTATCATCCACAAATATTTTATTCACATCAAACTTGCACAGTAGCAAAATAAATCAAAACATAACTAAGCCACATATTAAAGAACAATATACAATAAAAATTTGAATTTTTCAATGGCATTGGAAAAAAGTATTTCCATAAATAACATTTACAATTCTATTGTTAGTTCTTTCAAGGTGTCTGAAGCTTCACAGTGCTAGAATTGATTTTTATCACAACACATGCAAAAAATGTGCAACATAATCCATATTAATGACACAAAAAGCACACCAGTTATTTGTCATTCCAACACGGCCATGCCACTCTATGTTTCTAAAAACAAACAACCCCCAAATCCGGGTCCCATTCATTCTTCAATTATGCCTTTAGTCACTCTGCTTTATTATATTCAAACAGTCACTGTTAGTGCTCTTCACCACGCCTTTCAGGATGACGTCACTCCCTGCCTGCTGGCTGTCAGGACTGGGGGACGCCCCTCTCCCAGACTCACCTTCTTCCGGATGTCTTCATCGTTTGCTCCTAGAGAGGCATAGAGCTTGAATGCAGCCTGGCGGAGTTCATGAGCATGTTTTAAGTCATGATCAAGCTACAGGAGAGGAAAATAAAGACATGTTCAAATCAGACCACAAATTAAAACTTCAATTACACTAAACAAGTAGACTTCAAGAAAAATTAACATCTATTAACATATTTACTAATGCTGTAAATGAAATTCCCCCATTATTTTGGGGTTTTGTTCACACATGACTGAGGTTTGCCTATGCTTGCCTCTGCATGCCTGAAATGCATATTGTCTGCTTCTGTCTAAAAGTGAACACTGTAACATTTGGCACTGATAGATAAAAACCTTTGATCCCAAAATAGTCTAAAAACCCATTATTATTAGATGGTAGTTTTACTGGCACTGATATTTCATCGCAGCAGCTCTTTGGAATGCTCTCCTCCAAAAGAAAGCACATGCTGGCCTTTCTAGCCCCAGAACACAACTGGTAGCTTGAGTACTACTACACACCAATGTCTTTAGAAGGATTTCACTAAATTTCTCAAACATCAGAAAGTTGTAGTGCACCTGAGAAAATGCTTTGCCAACAACTTGTATCACAAGAGACATTAAAGGAATGAGGGCAGAAGGAAAATGCTAACAGACTTAAGTATGGTTCTGCACAAATGGGAATGATGAAATTATTTGTGTGGTAAATATAAGGTACTTTTCTTATTACTGTAGTCTATTTAAAAGATACTTGAATATTTAAAGCAAAAATAACAAAGTATTGGGGGTACTCATAAGACATATAAAAGGTACTGTATGACAATAACAGCACAAAAGACAGAAGCAGGAAATGAAACTTGTAAATCTAATGAGAGCAAATATAAAAATATAAAACAAAGAAATGTAACTTAGCCTCAGACTCATATCAGTCCTATGGGAGAACGTAGAACCACCCCACAGGACTTTCAAGGCTGTAAGTGGTACAGAAGCAGACTGCCACAGCTCTTTTCTGTAGAGCAGCGGATGGGTTTGAACTACTGACCTTTCACTTAGTAGTCAAGCACTTGAACTCTGCACTACCAGTTGTTGTTGACTCGGTTCTGACTCATAGTGACCCTATGTACAACATAACCAAACACTGCCTGGTCCTTTGGTATCCTCACAATCACTGTGATATTTCAATGCATTGTTACAGCAACTGTGTGAATCTGTCTCACTAAAGGTTTCCCTCTTTCTTTTTTGCTCACTCTCTACTTTACTAAGCATGCTACATTCCTCCAGAAACCGGTCCCTCCTGATAACATGGCCGAAGTATGAAGAGACAATGTCTGGACATCCTTGCTTCTAAGGAACATTCTGATTTGACTTCTTCAAAGACAGATTTGTTTCTGCTTCTGGCAGTCCATAATACTTCCAGTATTATTATCCAACACCATAATTCAAAGGCATCAATTCTATTCTGATCTTCCTTATTCACTGTCCAGCTTTCACATGCCTATGAGGTGACGGAAAATCCATGGCTTGGGTCAGACATACCTTAGTCATCAAACTGACATCTTTGCCTTTGAACACTTAAAAAAGGTTCTTTTGTAGCAGATTTACCAAATGCGGTATGTCATTTGATTTCTTGACTCCTACTTCCAAGATTGTGAAGCCAAGTAAAATGAAATCACTGACAACTTGAGTATCTTCTCCATTTATCATGCTGTTGATTACTGGTCCACTTGTGAAGATTTTTGTTTTATGGTGAGGTATAATCGCTACTGAAAGGAGCCCTGGTGGCTGCTGTATATGCACTGAACTATTAACTGCAAGGTCGGCAGTTCAAACCCACCAGGAGAAAGATGAGGTTTCCTGCTACCGAAAATTTACAGCTTTGGCAATATTATACAGGGTTGCTATAAGTCGAAATGTACACAATGGCAGTGGGTTTTGGTTAAGCTTTTTAAATCCCAAGTGAAAATTATAGTCTGATCTTCATTAGTATTAAGTGCTTCAAGTCCTCTTTGCTTTCAGTAAGCAAGGTTGTGTCACCTGCAAATCACAGGTTGTTAATGAATCTTCCTCCAATCTTGATGTCACTTTTTCGTCATATAGTCCAGCTTCCTGGATTATTTGCTCAGCATACAAATTGAAAAAAGCATGGCAACAGGATACAACTCTGGTGCACATCTTTCCTGATTCTTAACTACATAGTATCCCCTTGTTCTGTTCCAACAAATGCCTTTTGGTTTATGTATACATTAAGCATGGGCATAATGAAGTGTTCTGGAATCCCCATGTTTCGTAATGTTATCCATAATTGTTATGATCCACATAGTTAGATGCCTCTGAATAGTCAATAAAACATAGGTAAGCATCTTTCTGGCATTCTCTGCTTTTAGCCAATATTCATCTGACATCAACCATGACATCTTTTGTTCCATGTCCTATTCTGAATCTTGTTTGAATTTCTGGCAGTTCCTGTTGATGTACTGATTGATGCAACCATACTGGTTACTAATTAAGAGGCAATGCTTTTCCAACGATGGCGTGTTTAAATATACTTTCTCTTATATGTAGAGAAAACGATCTGACAAACAGGTTGAGAAGAAAAAGCCAAAAGGAACACTTGTCTTTTCAAAGGAATTTATAGCTTGAGGAAAAATAGCAAAATTCAGTCCTTCAATATCACAAGGTAGTGGTTAAATGGTGCTTCAGCTACCAGTAGCAGGTCCAAAGCACAACATAAAAGTAAAGAAAAGACAGCAAAAAGTAAAAGAAAAAGCAGTGAAAAGAAAACACTATCTGTAGTAGAGTAAAAGAAGGGCACTCAGACACCTGTAACAAAAGATTACTCTTGACCTACATACTGAGAAGGGATTGCAACAGAGATGATTCTATGACCTCAAAGAGGATCAGATGGTGTTGGTAGATACCCAGAATAAAGACTCTATTAGTTTGGGGTTTTAGTGGGCAGTTAGGGATGCACTTATCTTCTTCCTGGCTTACCTGCTTAGTTAACAAAAACTGACAATAATTAGTACACAAAAGGGTGTTAAAATGTAATTGTCAATTGTTTCAAACATAGGAACAGTAAGAAAAACTTTTAAAAATATCTCTCTTGAGCTGCTGAAAGGAAAGAGAGAACATACCCTTTTAATATCAGTGATGGCACTCACTGAGCTGGGATATTTGAAGTAATCGGCAAGCATGGCAATGAGGTGATCAGTTATGCTAGCGATTCTCTGTAGCTCAACATCTGGTTCAATCAGATATGCAAGAGTCTCAGCTCCTTCAACTCTCTCCTCCAGTAATCTCTCTTTACTGCACATTCGAACCAAACAAGGCAACGTCTGCAAGACAGTGAGATTAATTAGTTGTGTGTGGTAAAAGCAAAGACAGCTTGATGGTGATGATGTAGTGATTAAGTCAACTCAATGATTTTACTGGGAGTGTTGCTTACGATCAATGTTTCCTTTAGTGGCTTTCAAAGTTTAACAAAAGTTTTCTTTGGAATATAAAAATAAACAAAATTCAGTGCATATTAGTCATATGTGTACTGACATACTAACTGCTACCTCATACATTTAATCTACACTAATACAAACTGTAATTAGGCTTTTGAGATTGATAAAACTGAAGCTTTATTGTACAGTCTTGTGACACTGTGGGTTAATGAGCTGGACTGAAAGTTTGGTTTGAACTGCAAGGTTGGAAGTTCAAGTCCACCAGCTGCTCCTTGGAAACGCTATCCAGGTTTGCTATTAGTCAAAACTGACTTGATGGCACTAACAACAAAGTATGAAAGATGGTTTTACCCCACCTATGTATTTAGTTACTGAAAAGATATACATTATTTTAATTAGAAACGATCTTGCTTTAGAAAAACTGTGCTAGTTTTACCTAATAAACTACTATGGCTGTGATGACTATTTCATTTTTGGTTTGACAATTAATAGTTCAGTTGCAAAAACAAAACACAGCTTCAAAAATACCATTACTTACATTCTGCCAGTGCTCCTGTACTGAGAGAAAAATGCCACAAACACAGTTCCTAGGTTTTCCCAAGAGCTTCTTAGAATGACTGTGGTATTAACTAGTTCAAATTTAGCTCTGCAATCCTTCAACATCACTGGTCTTAGTGATTTACCTACATTACATTAAAACAACCTTTAGGTTGACCCTAAAGGACACTGTAGAACTGTCCCACAGGGTTTCCACAGGTGAATATGTTTACAGAATCAGACTACCACACCTTTCTCTCATGGAGCAGCAAGAGGGTTTCACTACCTTTTAGTTGGTAGCCAAGTATCTACCTTAGTGGTAGTGGTGGGTGGTGGTGGTGGGTGGCGGTGGTGGTGGTGATGGCTGTGTGTCACTGAGTTGGTTCCTACTCATAGCGACCCTGTATAGGGTTTCTAAGGCTGTAAATCTTTAGAGGAACAGAAAGCCCCATCTTTCTCCCTAGGAGTGGCTGGTATATTCAAACTATTGACCTTGTGGTTAGCAGATCTGCTTGTAAACCACTATGCTACCAGGGCTCCTTTGTCTACCTTATTTCTTAAGAAAAACATTCCATTTACTTATTATTTCTAAGGCTGGTCAAGCACATTTACAAATGTGAGAGTATAAACTGAAATGTTATAATTATAGGGTGCCCTCCACAACTACCATAGTCAACTGAGCTCTGCCGTTTTCTAAATCCCTATTATATCTTTATCACAGAGTTTATTACATTCTATTATTCACTATTGATTTCCGTCACATTAGTTCAGGCTCTACAACTGAATCCTACACTCATGATGGGAAAACATATTCTTACTTCCCTTTGAATAATTAGTTACTAACATGGCACTGTGGGACAAAGCACTGGACTGTAAGGTCAGTGGTTCAAATGCACCATTTGCTCCTCAGAAACCCTATACAGCGTTGCTGTGAGTTGGAATCGACTCGATGGTACTTAACAACAAACAACACTAAACCACATTTAAGATGGATTACTGAATTTCATGCTCATAACTCCACAAAGAAGATACTAAACTTAGTTCACCAATGAGGAAGAAAAGAAAGGTTTGAGAAGTTAAGTAAGTTAAATAAACTAAGATCACTTGAATAGAAGTCCTTAGCACTGTCTGCAGGAGTGTTTATTTAGGGATCATCAGGATTTATTATTAATAGACTCTTCATCAAAGACTAAAGCAAACATTGTTCATCTTCTTGGTGCTCATTTACTTTGTTTCACTGAGCAGTAACCAGAGATCTCACATACATAAAATAGCACGCGACCAATTTATTTACACTTATTTTGTTCTTTATAACTAATATGAAATTTTCATGTATTTCATATATTGTCAGCCTCATAATAACCCTGTGGGATGGATTTGTTGTTGTTAAGTATCGAGTTAGTTCCAACTCATAGCAACCCTGTAGACAGTTTCCAAGGAGCAGCTGGTGAGCTTGAACCATCAGCCATGAGGTTCAAAGCAACCTTGTAGTCCAGTGTATTAACCCAGAGAGCCACACCAGGACTCCTACGGGATGGACAGGTAAGAATAATTGCCTCCATTTTCATTAAGAGCCTGGGTGTGTCCAAGGTTATCAAGTGATACAAGGCAAAAACTAGAATCCATGTCTTAAGACTTTTAGAATTGGTCTCTTCTCCAGGGTTTTCTGAGTTCTAGTTGTATTTGACATAATATGATAACAGAGATTACGTTCATATGTGTCATTTACTTATTAGCTCTCACTGTAGCTTTTGACTACCAACAGAGGTGATATTGGTAAACTCCTATAAAATGTGTTATAAACTGAATGGAGAGCAAGAATTAAGTATAATATTTTTTATTTCACCTGAATTTTAAAGATTTCTTGTAAATTCTATATCCTAATTACTATAAAAACTGGAATGTTGTTAACAAGAAAGGATTTTTTCACTTTGCCTTTCAAAACACATCTAAAACCAGTATTTTAAAATTACATGGCACCTCAGTGAAAGGACAGCATGGTGGTTTCAACATTATTTTATGCTGTGCACACATAAAAGACTTTAAAAAAGAAAAAAGGCATACCAGTTATTTACATTCATGACTTACAGGACTGGATAATTTTTACAACATATTTTTGAAAGAACTAATTAGCTTACCTTTAATACAATACAGTTGTCATCTGTCCGAATTGCTCCAGCTCTACACATGTAAGTTAAACTGGAATAAGATGGCAGAAAGTAAGTTTTTGCTTGCCTTTAAGATATCATTCATATTTATTAAATAAAAGAACAAAGACAAGTACTGTCATTTCTCTTGAGAGCAAAGGTTCTGACATTTTCTTATTCAGGTAAAGAAAATTAACTGATATATACAAACAATGACCCACATATTTATAAGAGACTATTACTTTACCAACAAGGCAAATGCTCAGTTTTGAAGTTAAGATAAAAATTATTAAACATACAAATAATAAACAAGCAATGAGTGTTATCAGTGACTCGTTGAAAAAAATCTCACCAAAACGCTAGAGAGCCATAAGTTCTTAAATACTGACAATAAACATTTAACACAGACCCCCTAAACAACAGGTGTTCAAAACATTGTTGAAAATAATAATACAGAATGTTCATGTACTGAGTACTCACAAGAGCCAGGAATTGTGTTAATATAACCAAACAACATAATTATATTATAAACTGTCACATTTCTAAGAGGATTTTTAGTTTGTTCTTCTAAAGATGAGAAAGCATATTCCTTGAAATCATACCTTGGTTATCAACTTCAGCTTCACTCCACGTCTCTATATTGTTATATTTTCCTTGCTAAATACTTAGCACAATAAGTATTAGTTAAATCTGATTTCATTGTGTATTATCTCAATTGAAATACAAAGAAGAGTAAGTTGAAAAATTTTATGGAATCCTAAATTTTATCTGATAGTTTCTGTTTTGCACATTACTAATGGTTGTTGTTGTTGTTATGTGTCGTGGAGTTGGTTCCGACTCATAGGAACCCTGTACAGGGTTTCCGAGTCTGTAAATCTTTACGGGAGCAGAAAGCCTCATCTTTCTCCCGCGGAACAGCTGGTAGTTTCGAACTGCTGACCTTAAGGTTTGCAGCCCAATTTGTAACCACTTGGCTACCAGAGGTCTGAGTAAAAAAGCTGACATCCTTATCTAAGAAAATGTGAGACAATTCCATGACTTTCAGATTTCAAACTCCCAAAACAAGATGCAGACTGAAATTCAACTCGTGGTATAGGTTGTCTAAAAATACTCTAAGGAGGGGACAAAAGCACTGTCTTTCTCCCATCATCTTGACTTTTACCATTTTGCTGATGTGAGCTGCATCTCAATAGGCTTATCCCTCTGTAACATCTTCACAAAAATTTGTGGTAACAATTCTCCATCAACCAAAACTAAAAATAAAACAAATAACAAGGATTTAAGGAAATTCTTTAATATGCAAAGTTAATAAAGTAAATCATGTAAGTGCAATTAAAAGTTCCAGCCTACCATTTACCAAGGTCATTGATACCTGGGGGTTTTCAAAAGCTAAAACTGAGAAGCATTTCAGGGCTTGCATTCGAACCTGTAAAAATAAATGAACAAAAATTGCATGTATGTTAATTTTTCAAGTGACAAATACTTTTTTAATCTTTTGGAATCTAAATTCTTTTTCTGAAGAAATAAACATACAATGTGCTGCTGTAGGATAAGCACTCAACCTGAGGTTGGTAGTTCAAACTCACCAGTTGTACCTCGAAAACACTATATAGGGTCACTGTGAGTCAGAAGTGACTCGAAGGCATTTAACAACAACAACAAAATACTAACAGAAGTCCTCAAAGGGATACAAATAACAATTACATTTCTGAAGAGCACAGTACGAATGAAACAAATTATAAAAAGTTAAAATTAAATTTGAAGTAATAGAAATAAATAGCAAAACCTTGTCAAAGTTAAAAGAACGACAATGCACAAAATATGTTGGTAAGACAAAGTCTCCTATGAAATCTTATATTTTGTAGGGATCAGTTTTCACCAGATGATCTAGTTCTCCCTCATTTCCAAAAATGAGCCTATAGATATTCTGATGTGGAATCTGAGATTGGCAAAAAAAGATCGCTGGGGTATGAAAATGCCCTGTGCCTTGCTCTACAACACTAGCATGTGCCTACAGGTAGAACCTAGAATATGTTAATGACACTGACAGTGGAGCAGCCTTGGCAAAACAGCAATGTTACCAGTTGCTTTTCTTTCTACAACTTGTAAGTTTCAAAATTTGTTACAACAGATATGGGAGTTCAATGAAGAAGAAAAAGAAATGGAGGAAGAGCAAGCTATAGAATAGGGAAGAAGAGGAGCAATAAAAAGAGCTCCAAGCAACTGCGTCAAGATTTTCAAGTGCTGACAGATGTCAGCCTTTGAGTGGGCAGAGCAGGTGAATGAAGCTGCTCTCGTGCATATGTTCTTTCCCTGTCTCTGGCTAATCTTGAACTGGCTTCCACACCTATCCGTGACCACTCACCCAGACTAAACTGTGGACGTCTCAGGTATAGACAAAACATACACATTTGCAGGGCTTAGTCTATAACAATGCCAAGGATCAAAAGAGCATAGGATCAGTGCTCATAGATAGAAGACAAAAACGAATTCTTTCCCTGCTCTAAAGGAAATTCCTGGTATACCCAGTTCTAATGTGACACAGTAAGAACAGTGTGTCCCAATTCTCAAATGTGCTCAAAGTTGCTAGATGGGCAACAACGAATGGCCACAATTTTAACTCAATGCCTGATACTAAAACACTGCTTACCTATATGAGGGAGCTTCAAAAAGTTCATGGGAAAATTCCATGATCTTTTCATTCTATCTTCTAACAAACATTTGGAAGCGCCTTCATAAACATAAGAGGAAATTTAACAAATAAGGTTGAAAACCTGACCTTTAAAATTAAAATACAAAACAGAACATATGCTAAATACTGATGGGTATTTGAATATATGTTGTAAGTTTGAGTCACTGTGGCTAAATAAATGTCTCAAATATAAAATCCAAAGTCTTTCAGATACAACGTGCTACTTTTTCTATCTATTTCAAGGCACCACCTGAAATTGCAGCCTTGGTACTGGTGTCTAACGAAGAAAGACTTTAAATACTCTATACACATTCAAGGGTAAAATCAATAGTAACACATGCTACAACCATATCCTGAAAAAACATAAACACAAAGGCAGCTTGCTTGCTTTCTGTTATTTTAAAGAGAATTCTATAGGTAAAACAATACTCTATAACACAGTCCTAATAAAAAATTATTCTTTATCATACCTATTAAAGACACAATAAAATATGTGGGCCTCTTTCTAGAGCAGGATTCTAGAAACCAAAAATAAGGTATAAAAATCTGGCCACAATGTTTAACATCTTACTTTGTAGGAGACTGAGGTTAGTAGGTGAGCAATATTCTGAACTGCACCATGGTTAAATAAAATTGTTTGATGATCTGGCCCCTGTAAGAAAAAAGAATAAAATAACATGTTAAGAAGAGTAATGTTTCCAATTATTTAGCTTGCTACCTTGTGTGGCACCACTGAAGGATCAGCACCAGATTGTGAACCACAAGGTCGGCAGTTGAAAGCCACCAATCACTCCTCAGAAACCCTATACAGGGTCACTGTGAGTTGGAATCGACTCGACAACACTGAACAATGTTTACTGAAAGTCACCACAATGTACAACTCTCAGTCATTTTTTTCCTACATAAACAGCAATGCTACCAGACACTGCCCCGCCCCCCACCACCCAAAAAGAAGGAAAAGCTGGGTAGATACTGTTTTCAGTCCTACAAAGGGCTGCCATCTTACCTCAGCCCAGATCTAGAACTGATGCCTCCTAACCTCCCCAAATTAAGGAAGGAGGCACAGCTTTCTGGCACAGCCTTTGACAACTCTTATATGGCACACCACCACAGCAACAGAGTCACTATGGGCTCTGCATTTTATGTGCACACCCTTTCCCTCTGCCCCCCAGGAGACAGTGGCACAGTCATTCTTAAGACTTAAATTCTAGGCAGGGGAGAGCTAGAACTGGGCCAGAATCTAACCTGCATCAAAATATCAGGGAAGTTCGCACAATGCTATGCTGAGAAACACAATGCTCCGTTACTGAGAAGTGAATAGTGTGTCTTGGTTTCAATTTCTAACTCATAATTGTTTCTCTCTTTTTTTTTTCTTCTTTCAATTTATAACTTCTTAGAGTAGGAAGGTAAAGAAGAAATTTAAGGGACTTTGTATTTTTCATAAATTCTGTTTCCTACTAATCAATCAATTGAAGATCTTCCCAGTGGTTGGTACTAATGGCTATAGCAAAGTTTTGAATTTGACACAGCTTTTATTCATTTTATGTCCCACTGCCTCCACTTATTTAATAAAAAAGTCAATTGGAACTAGGGATGTTATCTCATGCTTGTCATTTTTAGCAAGAGAAAGATGCAGCACTGAAAGGTAGGTTACTTGTCTGGGATCACCAGCGGAAACCAGTGACTAGCTCAGAACAAAAAGCCCTCAAACCAACCTTTCTGACCCACTACTCAGTTTGGCAAGATACTTATTCTTTCTTAGACCAAAACATCCATCATTTGAAATAGGAACATTAGCATATACATTTCTAAATACCATAGCAGTCATATGCTATTTTATAGGAAATAATCCCCTAAACAGAGTCCTGGTGTGGTGCTGTGGGTTAATAAAAGTCAGTTTGAACCACAGTCAACAGTTCAAGCTCATCAGTTGCTTCTTGAAAGCCCTAGGAGGGCCACTATGGGTCGGAACCAACTCGATGGCACTTAACAACAACAACATAAAACAGAATCATGGTGTGACACTGTAGAAGAGCACTGGACCACTAGGTCAGTTTGAATAGCAAAGTCAGAGGTTCAAGCCCACCAGCCGATCCTCAGAAACCCTATAAAGGATCACTATGAGTCAAAAGTGACTTCACAGCAATTAACAACAACAAACAAGAGCCCCTAAACATTTTATATACCGGGAAGATGATTCTTTTTGTGAACAGTATCAATTTCACTCAGTATCAACACATTTTTTTTGTTTCCGAAAGAAAATAAAATAGCTTATATTCTGCTGATTCTATAAATGTTTCAGGCCAGCATTTCACACTTTCCTATCACTTACAATACCACACAAAGTGATGAAGGATTGGAAAGAGAACACTTACAAACCAAATTGGCGAGGGTCACATATCTATGCTATTTTCTAACTGCTCCCCAAATAAGTGAAAATTAGTCACTTGATTCTAGGAAAATTATCTTCATTATAATTTAAACATTTAACCCTGTTCCCAAATCCTAGCAGATTATCACACTCTATTCAATTCTATTTAAGACATTTGGAATTTAAGACTTTCGTCAAACATTTTTGAGGTTTCTGAGATTGTTCGGTGTGTCAGTCAACTCACAGGACGAAGCATGCCAAACAATCCTTTACTCTCCAGAGGTGGGTAAAGAAAGGCTTTCAAAACTTTATTGCAAATCATTTGCTACAAATAAGCCCAAACTTCAGAGTCCAGGATTTCCCAACAATGAAATGATGCTGTATAGCCATTCCTGGCAGGCAGGTAGGGAGAGACCTACCCACCCCCCAACCCCCAGAGCTCAAAGTGCCATGGAGTCGGTTCTGGCTCATAGCGACCTTGTATAGGATTTCCTAGGAGCGGCTAGTGACCTTGGATTACTGACCCTGCAGTCCAGTGCATTAACCCACAGCACCACCCCAGGGCTCTAGGCCTCCTTAAAAATCGCTTAGCATCAATTCCCGAGTTCTCCGGAGAGTACAGCATCATAACCACAGTCATTCCAAATGGCCAATAAAAACTTGCCCTGGAGGTATAACTATCTCTCAAATTATGTTAAATTATGAGCTCTGAATAATCTCACTCCTAAAAAGTTAAAAGTAAAAAAAGGTCCTGGTGTGGCACTGGATACGCACAAGGTCGGTGTTTCAAACTCACCAGCGACTCCTTGGAAACCCTACAGAGGTCACTGAGTTGGAAGCAACATGAGAGCACTTAGGAAAAAGTGCAACATGCGTATAGTATTCTACCATGTGCGTTACAATGATGGAAGAGAATATACTTATGCATTTCTTTATAAAATATCTTGAAGAATATAAAAGAATCTCTTAATATTAGGTCACCTCTAGGTAGGAGAATGGATTGGCTGTGGACAAGGGTGGAAGAACAATGAGGTGCAAAGGGCCAAAGCAGCACCGGCTACTTAATCATTCTGCCAAGCTCAGTTGATGATTAATCTGGGGTGTCAAAATTTATAAGGAAGGCAAAAAACCGCAGTATGCAGACATGTGCGCTGAGGTTTATCTTCACAATTTATCCTACTTGCTACTTGTTGTTAAATGCCAACTAGTCAGTTTCAACTCACAGTGACCCTGAATAGGGCTTCTAAGAAGTGGCCGAAACTGCCAACTTTGTTTTCCAGTGCTTTTTCCCACAGCGTCACATACATCAGATTCTTAGGAAGCCTGTCTTGTTAGCTATCCCCTTACAACCTATACCAGCACTCTCATAATGACCAAGACATCTATGTTTCAAATGGGACTAAGCACTTACCATATTCAAAGCACTGTGCAGCACACAGCAAACACCTAACAAGGTACGTATAACTGCAGAAGCAGGATGAGATGGGAGGACAGAGATCACTCATGTGTCCTAAATATGCCAACACTTTCAGGTACTACAGAACCACGATTGTGCTTTTCTGAAAGGATATCTCACAATAAATATATCAAGCAATTTTACACTCTGGGAAGCAGAAACACCAGAGATGGAGGCAGAGATGGGGACATGGAGAGAGGGAGCAGCTGAGAACTCTAGATTCATGGGAAGAGAGGGACTGAGAGCTGGCGGCCTGGAGGCAAGACTTGCAGAATGTGCCCTTTGGTGGTGTAAATTATTGTGCCTGAGTGTAAATTATAATAAGCCTGAGCGTTTAAAAAAAAGAAAAGAGCTAAAACGAATAGAGAGAAATACTGTTAATTAATGGTACATGTAGAGGATTGTAATCACTGTAATGAAACAAGGTGTATGATTTGTTGAATGTAAAACTGATGATCTGCCCTGTAAATTTTCACTCAATTCACAATAAAAACTTAAAAATAAATAGTGTGAATATTTAAAAAAAAGGCTGCTCTGGGAATTTAACCTCATAAATAACCTTAGGATCTACACTAAATAGTTTCAATAGTATTCAATAAAACAGCTTATATTAGTGAGAAATTAAAAACTCCCTAAAATGGACAATGAACCTTTGCTTTAGCAAATTATGGAATACTATATCGTGATTACAAGCATGACTGCAAAATTATACTTACTATTGAAATGCACGTACATTTGAGCTATCTTCATATTTTTAAACCGCATAGACTATTACATGCAGTGGTTAAGACAAAAGGTGATCATGTAAAAATAAAAATCTGGAATATTAATCTGGGGGGTAGAATAATGGAGGAGTCTCCAGGTAGCACAGAGAGTTGTGCTCAAGCACTCACTGAAAGGCTGACACTGAACTCAGCCAGAGGAACCCTGGAAGAAAGGCCTACTGATCTGCTTCTCCAAGGTCACAGCCGTGAACACTTTTCTACTCTGCAGCACATGGTGTCACCATAAGTCACAACAGACAAGATGACATCTGGTTTGATTTACTGGTTTTAGGACAATGAAAGGTTAAAAAAAATTTTTTTAAATATGGTAATATTTCTCCTGAATTAATGCTGACTTGGAGGTCAATACACTTATCTATCATCACTGGGCTCAAGTATGGCAACAACTGTGAGGTTGGCCCTGGACCGGGCAGTGTTCCCTTCTGTTGTGTACAGGGTCACTCTGAGTCGGTACCGACTCGATGGGACCTAACAACAACATACAAACTCACAGTGCAAGGATTCTTAATTGGAAACCTCTGAATCAATGAATGCAGTATTCAAATTTCATGTCTGACTATAAAATTTGAAATGTGGTTGGGTCACAACCCAAACAGTCAGATTTAATATACCACAGCTCTGGAATGCACCAATTAACAAACAAACTACAGGATTTAAATAATCATTACAGACTCTTAGAAATGTTATGTCAGTTTCCAAAAACAAAACTACAGACAGAAAACGGCTGCATTTCCACAGAAATAATCACTACAGCTAATTATCAATATTACTATCAGCACATGCTCTAAAAGTCATTAATTTGGTGAAATCTGACTCTTCAAATGATTCAAATAAGAGTCATGTTCATTTAAAATTAAAATAAGCTATGGAGATCAGCCAATTAAAGTATTTTTGTCATAAATGGTCTAGAGCGGTTAGAAGACTCACCTTGGGTCTTCTAGTTAGCTATCAGTAGGACCATGTTGTTGTTGTTGTTAAGTGCCGTCGAGTCGGTTCTGACCCATAGCAACCCTGTACAGGGTTTCCGAGGGTGTAAATCT